TATTTTTAAAAAGTATTATAGTTTTATTGGGTTTCTTAAGTTCAATTCGATTTTATTCTTTTTATTACCATTTCAGTTCGATTTAATACAATTCAGAAGAATACTTTCAAGCTAGCTCAAACCAAATTGTATATGGTTCGATTTCGGTTTAATTCGGTTCGGTCAAACCGATCCACTATGTCCAATTAATTGCCCACCCGTACTTGTAATATACAAATTTTGTGCATGCATTAAGCCTTCATGATTTAGGAAGTGTGTTAAACTCATGTGTTATAATTAGTTGTGCAGATAACACGCTAAAGTAACATACTTAGCGTGTGGAAATCATGTGTCTTTGTACTATAGTTGGACATACTTAACTACTTAAGTACATTCGTCAATATGTTTAAATTATATAAACATAATCAACACTTTTTTATCCAATTGTTAAATATGATCTTCGAGAGTGTATAAATGTTAAATCCCATGAAAACAAGAAAATAAGAATAAAATAAAAAATATTAAGATTTTATTGAGATTTTTTAAAATACAATTAATCAATCAAGTTATCAAGCCATTTTGACCTTATATATATTGATTTTTTCATATGAATTTGAAAAAACAAATTGTAACAATAATAATCAGTATAAAAATAGTATAAACGAAAAATTATATAAATACTTTGAAAACTTTAAAATAAAAAATCAGTAAAATGAAAAATAAAATGAAGATTTTAAAAATAAAAAATGTTAAAATGCATAGATATTGACTGTGACATTCTGATATTTTTCACGATTTTTACCTATATTTCTTCGAATTTTATCAATTTTTTAAAGTTTTTAATATATAAAAACTGCTATTACAGGTCCAAAACTGATTAAATGATCGGATTGATCAATTTTTTAACATAAACATACTTATATGATATTTTTTCTAATATATGAGTATTTTGATATATATTAAGTAAATGTAGAAAACTCTTAATGAGTACTTATCAATTATAAAAGGTAACAAAACATAAGTATTTCTATTTTAACATCTTGACTATATTTTAGACCTAATTATACGTGGTATAGGGTAATTTGTTGACATGTTTTCTATACCTGCGAGCGGTTCTTGTTGAATGATCTCCTCTTTCTTGGTTTCCATATTACAAGCTCTGCGTATATGTAGGGTATATTCTGGTGTACTACATTATCTACCCTTCTTGCATATTGCGTATATATAGTGCGAGTGCTCATGGATCTAGAGTTAAATGATGCAAATAATGCACTACGATCAAAATAATTTATTTCACTCATTAACCAGGAAGATGGAAAGTCTTCAATCTCGTTACTAAAGTGAATAAAATGATGACATTAAACTAAAAGTTTTTAAACAAACAATTCCCTTTATTAATTAAACCTAACAAAAACATCCCATCATTATTTTCAAAAGATTTTGGGGTTGGCTAATAAGTTGAATTGGTTTATGATACGAGAACCAAAAATAGAAGAAAGGTAAGAAGAACAAAAAGAGTACAATAAAAAGGATAAAATAAATAAAGATGAATACGGAGTATAAGATAGAAATAACATAAGAACATATGAAAGATAAAATATAAAAAATAACAAAAGAACATAGAAAGAAGAAGATAAATTATAAAAGAAAATGAGAGAGAGAAAAGAGATCAACCGCACACACAAATGTGCACCCCCACATTGTTTTGTCCAAAGTCATACTCTAATCCAACCCAAGAAGATGAATATCGGTTCTGATTCCTCTATCCCAAGTTTGTTTGGGTCTTGCTCTCCCTCTTCTCTCTGCCTCTTTTTTCCCACATGATCTCAAGTTGTCTAACAGGTGCATCATTCGGTCTTAACGCCCACATGAACAAACCACTACAATCGAGACTCATGCATCTTATCTTTTATAGGCATTACTCCAACCTTTTGTTTGATTATCTCATTCCTCAATCGGTTTTATCTGGTCAATTCACACATCCAACGCAACGTACGCATAATTCGGTTTTATGTGGTCTATCACACTCATCTTTTGAATGTGACATTGTTTCACTGTCCAACACTCTAAAACATACATTAACGCAGGCCGAAATGTTGTTCGATATAATTTACCGTTCAGTCTAGTACGCATATCTCGATCGCATAGAAATCCTGATGTACTCTACCATTTCATCCATCATGCTCTGTATTTATGGGATATATCTTCATCAAATCCACCATCCTTATGAATTAAGGAGCCCAAGTAACAGAACATGCATATCACACATCGGTATCTCCTTGCCATCAAGAGTAATCACACTATCACTACTACTTCTACCTCCACCAAACATGCCCTCCATATACTCAATTTTGGTTTGGTTCGATCGTAAACTCTTGATTTCCAATGTTTGTCGCCATAAAGTTATGATAAATAAAGTGAAAAATATTTTTCTAAAATCTTCGTTACCTCTACAATAATTTATACGTAGTTCTATTTTTAAAAGATCTTGTTTGTTACCAAACAGGTCAAAATATCAAATAATGTAAATATATATGAAATGTATTTCATACTTCTTCTATTCTTTTTAGTAGGATTATATTGATTTGCTTGATTGTTACGTTTGTCAATACACAATTTTAAATATTACGGAGTAATGTATTTGAAGCATCAATTCATTTTTGATATACGTACTTTATGTATATAGGGGAGAGTTCAATGAAAAATAGTCTTGACATGTAAAAGATGAATTAATCTCAGTCATTCAAACTATCAATCTGATGCACAATAACATTTATCTAATGCACTTTAGAATAAACCTATGTGATATGATGCAGTTTTCGAAAATGCATCAAATAAGTTCTCGCATTTGCTTAAAAGTGGAGCTCTCATGTTCTCACGTTAATCATAGTTCTCACTTGATCCAAAACCTATATAGGGTGAGATTGGTTTAAATAAAAAGTACTTCCTAGGTGAAAAATAAGAACTAATCATGGCCATTGGTGTGAAAAAATGAATGAAAGAGATCAAATTTTAAGTTAGAAACACGGTGACATTTTGGTACTTATGAGGAACTTTTAATGAATATGCTCTATATATGTAGGGAAGAGTTCAAATAAAAAGACTTCTTCTCGTGCAAAGTGCGAAGATATGTACTTTTTCATGTTTCGCTTGCACTTTTGTTTTTGTTGCACTTTTTCACGGTGGCGAAAAAGTGTGATTTATTTACGGAATTACCACCACAATTTTGGTCGAATTTAGTGCATTTTTGGCTCATTTTGAACCATTAGATGTGGAAATGAATGCACAAGATTCATTCTCACTTTGCATGGGAAGTGAGAATGAAATTAGTCTTTGTATATGAAATTATTTTATTTATTCATCTTTCATTAGCCATTAAATGCCGATCATGAATGCAATTTAAATCATCAATGATGTTTCCCACTTTTCATCTTTTTCCTTCACCTTTTGACATTTTATAACTTTATTGTTTGTCTCATGAATCTAAAGTAGTAGACTCAGGGAGGCGAATCTACCTCCATAAGAGTTAGCTAGGGAACATGCCTGCAATAAGTTTTTTAGAATTGATATGAGTATACATAAATAAACAATTTTTCCTTTATGAAAAACGATTTGCTCAAATTAAATTATTTTTCATGCCCCCAACTAGAAATAGTTATGAGATGGAACATATGTATAATTTAGAAAATGATTGATTACGCGAGTCAAATTGAAAAAATCTCAGTTGTGGCATACCACCTTCGTTCCAAAAAAAACTTCTCGGTTTGACTTGACACATTTATTAAAAAAGTAGAAATAAAGTGGAAACGTATAGTTATGGTTGATTAAGAAAAAAGTAAATATATCTTCGCACATCCATACATCCCTGGCCGTGCAAAGTGCGATTAAAACGGAACGGAGGATAGTATATTTTGTTTCTCTTTGCTTCTCTTTCTTTATTTTTTGTCTACAATTCCTTTTTTTTCTCCATCAAATACTAAAAATGTAATTACAATTTTACTTTTCTTTATCTTCAACTTCAATTACAACTGAATCTATTTTTTATTCTTTATCAATTCATAACAAAAAAAATATTAATTTAAATAAAACAATACATTACATTCCACATCCATACATTATTTCATTTCTGTAACATTTTTTGTATTATACACTTTTTTGTAGTATTAATTTTGTTTTGTAGTATAAATTAATATTTTTTTGTAGTATAAATTAATATTTTTTTGTTATACATATTAATATTTTTTGTAGTATAAATTAATAATTTATTAGAATACAAAAAAATAGAGAATTTTAGAATTAATTAATATAATAGAGAATTTTAATTTGTATAAATTAATAATTTATTAGAATTTTAATTAGTATAAATTAATAATTTATTACTCGTAGAATTTTAGTTATACTACAACATAGGTAACTTCAAGTTATATTCTTCACTTATAAGTTGTTGATGTTATTAGTAATAAGTCTAATGTATTACAGTTGTACTTTATTCTCTCAAGATTCAAGAAAAATCAAAGGGACCTTATTCATGAAATTTGATACTCTTTAGGCATTCATATGTATATCATTTTTTCACACATGTATACAAGTATATGTTATTTTTTTTCCAGTATTTCACCATCTTGCTGAAAATTGCTCAGGGTAAAGGGCAGCAATTCTCTGCACCTAACGAAGAATTATCCTCGTGTTTTTTAAAAAACTTTTGTGTACAGTTTTAAAGTGTTTATATATGCAAGCCTATTAATGAGTCTTCCGTTTCTAATCCAGTTAGCAAGTTGTATTTCTTATATCTAAATTATTAACCTGGTCACAAAATCATCATAATTTGTATTTTTATTTTTGTAGTTTATAAAGCTGTAATATTGTATCTACATTTAAAACCGTCTTAAAGCTCAAGTGCCATTCAAAATTATGATTTTCCTAAATCTTTGGTGGAAATTTTATTCAATCCTACCAAAAAGCCAAGTCAAGAGTTCTACCAAAAATATTGACAAGATTTTTATTCCAATTCTTGGAGTGATGTTTGCATTCGGCATTGTCTAAGTCTAACTGAACTTGTGGACTTGGGGTGAGATGGCCATCCCCTTTCCTTTAGAAATGAATTCTGAAAGGCTTTCCATTCTGGATTTGCGTGGAGGTGGAAGAATTCAAAATGCTACTCCACGTCGGGTGGAATGAAAGTCATCAACCTTTTATTATGATGATGCTTTTTTGAATCAAACTCAATTTAAATCTTTTCAGATAATTGTTCGGTTTTGGAGGGTCTAAGAAGAGATGTAGTGTAATCCTTTAGAGTTTAGAATATAAAATAGAATAAATTCCACAAATATTGTTGTTGAGAAAGTCGTGGACAAAAATGTGGAATGATAACTAAAGACTATAATTGTGTTTAAAGTTATTATGATGTAATGTAGTGACTATAATGTAAATTTTGAACATAATTATAGTCACTAGAATTACTAAATCACAATTCATCCATCACTCAGCCATGGCTGGACTCTACTATTGAAGGAGTATTGCTGTTTTGAACGCACAGAGAGTTGTTTCAGACAGAATAAATGTGTCAATGAGTGGCCAAGAGAGCAGAGGACTATGGGGCTCGTTAGAGCTAAGATGTTTATCTATTCTCCAGCAGAAGAACAACACCAGGGCGACTCTCCTCCAAATTTTCACCTTCATGTTACGAAACTCATTGGAGACCAACATCAACCTCATCACCAATCTAATCACCGCCTTCTCCTCTGCCGACCCAATCGCCGGGATCCACCACTCGCGCCGCTTGTTCGACGTCATTCCCAGCAAAGATGACAGATTTCTATGCAACACTATGATAAAATCATATCTTGATTCGGGACACGTGGTGGATGCAATGATTTTGTACCGGGATTTGATGGGGAACACGGGTTTTAAGCCCGACAACTACACCTTCTCCAGCTTGGCGAAGTGTTGTTCTTTGAGAGTAGCCTTCTGGGATGGCCTGGTTGTACACAACCATGCATTGAAAAGTGGGACTGTCTCGAATTTGTACGTAGCAACATCTCTAGTTGACATGTATGGGAAGCTTGGGTGTATCTGTCTTGCGCAGAAGGTGTTCGATGAAATGACTCAATGGAGTCCTATTTCCTGGACCGCTCTCATTGGAGGGTACATAAAGTCTGGGGATATGGACACCGCAAAGAGGCTCTTCTATTTAAACCCAGAGAAAGACACTGCGGCTTTTAATATGATGATTGATGCTTTTGTGAAGCGGGGAGATATGGAATCAGCAGAGACCTTGTTTTCTGAAATGCAATCAAGAAACGTGGTGACCTGGACTAGTATGCTTGACGGCTATTGCACTATGGGTAGTCTTACGGAAGCACGGCGGCTATTTGATATGATGCCAGAGAGGAATATATGTTCATGGAATGCAATGATTGGCGGATACAGTCAAAACAAGCAACCACATGAGGCTTTAAAGTTGTTCCATGAGTTGAGAACAAGGACTAGTTTGGAGATGACTGATGTCACGGTCGTTAGTGTACTTCCAGCCATTGCTGAACTGGGTGCTTTAGATTTGGGCATCTCTGTCCACCACTTAGTGAAGACGAAGAAACTGGACAGAAGAAATCTTAACGTTTCCACTGCACTGGTTGATATGTATGCCAAATGCGGCGAAATAGGAAAAGCCACAAGATTTTTTTATGGAATGGGGATTGTTAAAGATGCATCCACTTGGAATGCAATGTTAAATGGATTGGCAGTGAACGGCTGTGCTAAGAAAGCATTAGATGTATTTGAACAAATGACGAGTAGTGGGTGCAAACCGAATAGCATAACCATGCTAGCCGTTTTGTCAGCTTGCAACCATGGAGGTTTAGTTGAAGAAGGGAAGAGATGGTTCAAAGAAATGGAGAAATATGGGGTCACTCCCAAGATCGAACATTATGGGTGTTTGGTTGATCTTTTGGGAAGGTCGGGACGTTTGGAAGAAGCTGAAAGATTGATTGAGTGCATGCCATACGAGGCTAATGGGATAATACTGAGTTCTTTTCTATTCGCGTGTGGATACGCTAAAGATGTGAGGAGGGCAGAGAAGGTGAAAGATAAGGCGATTGAGATGGAGCCATGGAATGATGGTATCTATGTGATGTTGAGGAATTTGTATGCGAGAGAGAGACGATGGACAGATGTTAAAGAAATGAAGGGATTGCTGAGGGAAAGCGGGGCAAAGAAAGAGGCAGGTTGCAGTTCGATTGAAGTTGAGGGTAAGGTTTGGGAATTTGTAGCTGGTGGTAAGATGAATCCTCATTGGGGGGAGATTTATTTACTATTAGAGGATTTGCTGATTTACATGAAGATGCATGACAGAGCTACTTATGCAGACCCAACTCTATTTTCTTGACTGAAAATTATTATATTTCCTCCATTTTCACCATGAACAAACAGCCAAGGTTCAACTTTCATCATATGTAGAACTTCAACCACACCCCCACTGGAAAATACAAACTTTTTCTTGTCTTATCTGTCACCATGGCACAAAAAGACAAATCTCTAGCTTGGGGGGCCACACTCTGTTTAACAAGCAGTGCAGGAAAATGGTTTAGTGACTCCTTATATGGCAGGACAAGGATCCGGCGCGTGCCCACAAGTTGCCACCTCATCTCCGAAGCCACACTGCGACTGTCGTGGTCGGTACTGTATTCCATGGTACAATTTGTCACTCAAGAACCAATCGAGCTTCACAGGAAAATGTGAAGGAGATATAGTCGTACTCGGCAGTTAAATCCTACTTGTTTTGGTTCCCCATCCATGGAAAAGATGGTTGATAGTTGATACTCATACTTAAACCAGAAATGATTGTATAAAGATATATGTCAAAATCTGTAACTCGACCGTAAGTCTCACTAATCAGCCGTGGAACCAGACAATAATTTGAAGTGTGCTCTTATATTTTTTTTTGAAAAATAACTTTTTATTAGGATAAAAAAACGAGTGAAAAATAATTATTAGATACATATAGAGTGAGGTTCTAATAAAAAGAGTTATTCCCGTGAAAAATGAGAACGGGCGCACTTTTTACTCGTTTTGGTACACTAGTAGATATTTATTTTACACTTTTTCACAATGAGAGAAAATTTTGATTTATTTATCAAATTGTCACCGAGTTTTTGATAAAATATAGTGCATTGTTGATTGATTTTGACTCATCGGATCTCAAGTTAAATGCACAAGATTTATTCTCGATCAATTTTCATGATAAGAACTCTTTTTATTTGATCCGAAACTTATATATATGTATATGTAGTGTGTTTCAAATAAAAATGCTATTATACTAAACAAAAGGTAAATAGTTATATTAACTTAAAGTAGTTTTAGAATTATTCTTGACATTAAATGACAACGTCCGTATATGTCATTATTAGAAGAAGAAATGATTAAAAATAATTTGAATTGAAGAAATGAGAATTTAAAATAAAAGATATAGAAATTCAAAAAGTGTGATTTAAACAACATTACATTCTAGACTGATTTAATTGAACATAAATATTTACCAAATGGGCTAAAGTCTAAAGAAGCAATAATGGAGTCATACCAGTATACGTAAAAAGAAAGGTGCAAGGCAAAGCAAATGAGAAAGCAAAAAAATATTGTCACGCAGAAGAATTGAACCCGAGCCATTTAGGTAGACAAAGTTCTCCCAACCTTCGTCACCATTTGAATTATCACAACTCATACGTTCAAATAGCGACTGCACTTTAATATATCAATACTTTCTGAACCGGGGCTGAGATATATACATATACATATAGAACCACCGCCGGAGAAGGGGGAGCGCGGGCACCGGCTCGCCCCCTAGTTCCGCCACTATCACTAATGCATTTTTATTTTCATAATTTCCGCCACTATCAATAATGCATTTTTATTTTCATATTTTCATATAATTATTATTCTCCCATGTTTTCTTGCCTAAATAGATTTTCAAATCACTATTTTAACTTTACAGTATCATGCATTTTCTTTATTCTGAATTACAAATATTGGCACACTATATATGAAAATGTAGGATTAACAGTTTAACATTTTATTTTATGTATTAATGGAAAATTTGATAATATAATAATCCTAACAGTTACTAGTCCGCTCATAATAACCTTAACTTCATTATTCCTCAATAATCCCAATTAATTACACAATTAAAACACTAAACCCAATGAACTAACTTTGGGGGGAAATCTATGTTTTAAAAATCAATCCACCCCAATATGGTTGACCTGAAAACCTGCGCCCTTGACCAAAACCCCAAGTAATTAAAAACAAGACAATTTTTTCTACAATTAATTTGGTCGTTACTTTTAAATTTTCTCATCATCATAAACAAAGTTTCTAAAAAGTTGAGAGTTCACAAAACACGTAAATTTTCGGCTTATCAGCCAACTTTTTTACCAAACACGTAAATTTTGTTTTCGTGCGCTGAATTGTGTAATAAGCCGAAAAAGTTAGGTTGGAGTTACTTTTCTGGCTGTATTGGCTGAAGTTACTGTAGATGACTATTTTAGCTATTTTTACATATAATTTTTTCTTTATTCTATTAATAAAATGTATTTTAAAAATATTTTTTTCTTGTATCAGCAGAATCAACCAATGCAGCCACTTCAGCCAGAACTTCATAAATTTCAGCAGAATCAGCCAGAACAGCCGATTTTCGTGCTGCCAAACGGGCTCAATATTTAAGACATTGAGTTAGAGCTGAATAGGCTGATTGGAGCTTGTAAGTCGCAATACATAGAAAGGGGATAGAGCGTGTAGACTTGCATTGCTACCTCACGCTGCCGTGAGATACCGAGAGATTAGAGATAATATTGCTTTGAAAGCTTCTGCCAAACCCGGACAAAACCTAGGCTATCAAAACCCGACTTAGATATTATACAGAGGAACTTGGTTTGATCCCTGATTTTCATAACCACTACAAAAAAATCACGGGATTGACAGAGATTTTGACAAGGATTTGGCAGGGATTTTGGCAGGAAAATGTCAAATCTGTGCCAAAAACACTTTGGCACGAGCTATTTGGCACGAAAAATCGGTAAGTCCGTGCCAAATTCCGTGACAATCCCGTAATTTTTTTGTAGTGAACGCGAATATAATTTATCAAAAACCTGACCCAAACCGAGTCACGCCCACCCCTACTATCAGCCACCAAAGAAGAAAAAGAGAGGCTACATAAGCATGGAGAATACCGTTTTATACTAGAATTGTGGACTGCACTACAGAAAAAAAAAGACTTGATTCAGATTTGTAGTTCCTTTATTAAGTTTTGGCATATAAACGGTGATTTAAAAATATTCCGATAATGTGACTACTTGATTACTTTATTATTACAATTACAATCGACTAAGCCAAGACTGCCAAAATAGAGGATATAATAGGTCAGAAAGCTTTGTCAAAAAAATTTGTGAAGGAATTACCATGTAGTCCACGTGCAAATAACTATTCGGAAGACTTGCATTGCAAAAACCTCAGAAACATAAACTCCCAAAGTCCCAATAATTGTGATAACTAATCACGAAAACGTATGAGCATTACTTATAAGGTCACATTCAGTGGTCGCAACTTATAGTCATTAGTTAACTAATAGTGACTATTTATAATAACCCTTACCATTTTTATAGACAGAAGTATATACGTTCCCTCCGTCACAGGTAAAAGTTTTCACTTGTATTTTTTAGACGTCTCATTTAAAAGTTTTAATTTCTATTTTGGAAAGAAATTAACACTTTTAAATGATTGTTTAATCATGAAGTATTACAAATAATGCACTTATAACAAAACATCTATTATTAATGATTCTATTATATTATACTCACTGTCCCACTCAAACTACCGGAAATATATTCAAAATACCTTGTATAAATGATTATTTAAAAAAACGTACTACCAAGATGAAGCTATTGATATATATTGACCAATGTTCTAAAAGTCATTCTAGCGTCCGACTAGTTCCCTCCTAGGCGCTAGGCGGTGGTTGGACGCCTCGATTTTACTTTAGGCACTCCGACTAATTGGTTTAGTGCCTACGTGAATTAGTCGGCCACCTAGGGCGTCTAATTGCCCGCTCAGTGCCTTAATTAGCCGCATAGGGTGTTAAGATTCGGAAAACATTTTTTTTTTGGTTTTTTTCTAAGAGATATTTGTGTCTTTAACTTTAACAACGCATATGAAGAAAGCTACTGGTTACCGGTGGGCGTAGCTCAACTGGTAGGAAGGGAGTGCCACAAGGGTTAGGTCCCGGGTTCGAATCCCGATAACTGCGATGAGGGGTTACTATGCTAAAAATGCATAAGACCTCTGCAAGTAGGGGGGACAGCGCCTCACTCTCTATCTATAAGATTGTGATTATACTCCAATTTACATCCTCCCAACGTATCGTCCGGTCAGGGTTGGGGGGCCCTCAAGGATGGGGTGTCATCCTTTTAAAAAAGCTACTGGTTGTAGTCTTGTAGATTAAGATAAAAACTATAGATATTTGTATATACTCTTAAATTTTATTATCGTTTAATAATATTTATTACGTAATGAAGTTATGTGAGTAGGCCGGTATAATATTATTAATGTGACAACTCTATCATTAATGCATGTTAATGTGTATGTGTGTAAAAACACACAAACACAACATTACTAATCATATTTATGTAAAAACATTACTAATCATATTTATACACACACAAACACAACATTGCTAATCATATTTATGTAAAACATTGATAAAACGATAAATTTTATGCATCCGACTAGTCCCTATCTAGGTACCCCCTAGCCACCTAGACGCTAGGCCATGAGCGTCGACTAGCACCTAGCGCCTTTTAGAACATTGTCATTGACAATAGCAAATGTAGACACTCACATGGTTACTTTATTTTTACATCAGAAATGTTGTTTGTACACGTCAAGTTGTACACGTCATTTTACACGTTGATTAAATTATTTGTGCACAGATTTTTTTTCCGTTTCGTGAAGAGAATCGTTTTTTACAACAACAAAATTGTCTCTATCACATACAAAGAAAGTATCAGTGCAAAAAATGATTCTCTTCACAAGATGAAAAAAAAAAATTGTTTGTGCACAAACAACTTGACCGGTGTATAAAATAACATGTACATGAAGCATAGCTGTGTTTACATTACATGGAATGAGGTGTCAACAAACTCTTAATCCTTGTGGTTGTTAGGCTAACCGCAACCCTCTCATTTTCATCATTTTCATTTACCCCAGTGCCACAAAGGCTGGATTGTAAGGGGGGATCGGATGTACGCAGTCTTACCCCTGTACTAAAGCACAGAGAGACTGTTTCCGGATGACCCATAGTGAAAATCTCGTCCAAAATTACATGGACTGACTGCTGCTTCATCATAATAAAGAAGCGCAGACAGTTTAGTGAGCCATTTTGCTTTATCCCATCATTTAACTCGCAACCCTCTCCATCAACAAATTAAATTCCCACCAATTTATTCATATTCGCTCCGTCAATTCAGTCTTTTCCTACAATCCAACACCGTCAATATACTCACTTAGTAAAGTTTTTTTAATTAAAGTCTTTCTTTTATTATTATATGTCAATTTTTAACCAATTATTTTTGCGAATAATTATGATTTAAAAAGTCAAACATTCTAATGTGAAAATAAATAAATTTGGAGCTCGTTTGTGATTCTAGGCCTATTTTGAAATACATAACCAAAGAATGTAGAAAAAGATTTCAAACTTAAGAAAAATTTTGGGCCTAAAATTCTCCATATCATATGAAACTTCAATTTATTAAATTTTTATATTTTCAATATTGGTGTGATGTGAAAAATCATAAGAAGTTATGAATTATGATATATTGTTTTGAAAAAATTGAATACTAAATAAAAGTGTTTTAGAGCCTGCTTCTAGCCACAAATTAATTAGAAACTGTCTAATAGAGTCAAAAACTCCCGCATTTGGAATGTTAAGAATATTCATAAAGTTCATTTGAAGAAACTTTATGAACTGGCTGATATGTAAAACACTGTAAGCAGCACTACAAGGAAACCAACAGTTGCTAGTCTAAAAAAAGAGTGTTTATACTTTATAGGATAAACCATGAAAAAAACTCAAGGAACTGGGCTATGTACCAGTACCACAATGTCTTCCCACGATGATGTCATTCTATGTCACAACTCTACCTAAAATAGATACAAACAACGCTCCAAGCCAACAGTTGGTGGGCATTAAAGGTACCAATATACATAAGCAAACACAAAAAACAAACAATGCACAACACATATATAATTTGAGGGAGAGGGGTGGGGAGACTAACATGTAGCAGCTACTATTTCAAGGAAGAGTCGGTCTGATGGTGCTCCAAGTTGCGCAATACAATTCTCGCAAATATTTTGGCTTCGAGTGGGGCACTTGCCGACGCTGCCGCTGCACGCAATATACGCGACGCGCCCGGGCTTTGCAATAGGCTCACGTGATGCATCGCATGCCGTCCACTTGGAACCGTGAACTGCAAACGTTGGATCCATAGACAGTTAGAGAACAAACATTATAACGTCATTCCAAGAAACTGTTACACCTTGTTTGGTGGGGGGCGGGGGGGGGGGGGGGGGGGGGTCAGAGGCGAGGAAAGGAGAGAGTGTAATACTTATATTTCTTAAATTAACTTAAGCTTACATTAAATGACCGGAAAGAATGTGAGGGATGAAAAATTAACTCAATATTTTTTAACCGAATATATAGGCCTTGTTTGCCCATCGGCTATTAGCTGTTAGCTGGTTCAGACAGCGGTGTGATAATAGTTGGTTGTATTAACTAGTTTGGTTAGCTGATTATGTTAGTTTGTTAATAACAACTATTTGGTAAATTTAGCAGTTTAAGAGAGATGTTAGAGTGCAAAAAGACCTATAAGGACATTAATATATACTTCTTCCCTACCTTATAGTTTTGTCATCTTTCCTTTGTTGACCTTCCCAAAAACTTTGTGACCTTTCCTTTTAATCAGCTAATTTGTGATTCATATTATTTTTGTCTCATCTACACAAACCTCAACCACATGATTTTAAATTTATTATTTTATATGCCAGTCAAACCTGCAATGGAGCCAAAGATTCATTTTTTTGGCTTGAGATTATGATGGAATAAAGCAAAATGGCTCACTAAACTGTCTGCGCTTCTTTGTTATGGAGCAACAGTCAGTCCATGCAATTTTGGACGCGATTTTCACTATGGGTCATCTGAAAACAGTCTTTCTATGCTTTATTGCAGGGGTAAGATTGCGTACATCTGACCCCCCCTTACCCCACCGTAGGTGGGGTAAATGAAAATGAAAATGAAAATGAAAATGATATGCCGGTCAAACTTAGCAAAATTATAAGGGCTCGAGGCAACGTATTATTCGAGATATTGCTAAGTACAAATCATTAGAATGTTACAAAACATTACTAAAAAGATTATTTTATGCAGTGAAAAAGTTCACAATGGTATATATGCAACAGTTTTAGGAAATCAACTAGCTTTCTAAACTGGCATAGTTAGATATAATTTTATTGCCACCTAAGTTGTACAAACCCATTTTATTCTCCTAACATTAGTAGAAGCACGTGTAGAAAGTCTCAAAAGATGACAAGGAAACCCCTACCCTACAAAAGAAATAACCTTGCTCAGAATCCTGGAACCCCGAACATCCTCAACCATTGAGACATGAAATTGCAATCGCCCTTCTAAGACTAGCTTATGAGATGCATGTATTTATGAAGGGCACAAAAGGGAGAAATGAAAAAGCCAAACCCAAATGCTACACCTGCTAGTGTTCCAAATTTCAGCTGCTTGGGTTCAACAAGCTAAACTAACCAGCTATTTACAATTCAAACAATTTAGCTGTTTAGATGGTCAAAATCATTAATTGTAGTCAAACAAGCCAAAAATTGGCTGATAGGCTATTTGCCAAACCAGGCCATAGCATGTTTTATAAACTAAGACTAATAAATGTAGATAAACTAGTAAACCAGAAGCAATCCTCTCCCTTCCAAAACCCAGCAACCAAATACTAAAAATTTGATAGGCGCTAGTCAGTGAGCAAGTGGCAGCTAGTCAACCTGGAGCTCTTAATCGCCCCACAGTTGAAACAAATCATTCTACGGGCCATGAAGAGTTTAAGGAGAGTCCATAGTGGGGCCCAGCCCATCCAGGTCTGACTACTCCTCTGTGCCTATATACCTATATTTTGGATTGGGTATGATGCAAATTTATGTGAAAAATTAGTAGAAAGTTGAAACAGAGCTCGGGCATAAATTAATACTACTTGTAGTTTCTATGGAATATTAGAATTTTTTATTGTTAAAATTAATAGAATAAATTGATTATTAGTTTTTCTCCACCATTTCTACGGGAGGAACAAGCCGACTTTAAGAGCAGTGATAGTGTTGGAGAGAGAAGGCATGTACCTGAAGAAGAGCAAATGCCGCACATGCCTTGAGAATAGAAGATGGATTTTGAAGCATTTTAACAAATCTCCCAATCTCAGCTCCACTGCAAAGGGAAAACCATCATACAATTATTCACCACTATACTATATTATGTGTAGTTTTTTTAATTGAGAGACAGGAAGGAAGAAAACCTGCATCGAAGATGGCCAGCCTCATGAATGCGCACAGATTCAGTTACTTGAGACAAAGCTGTAGGGGAGGATGAAGCAGCAGCAGCAGAGAAAGATTGCGGATCAGAGAAGGCAAGCACAAAAGCTTCAATGTGCTTCAAAGCCATTCTTTTTGCCCCATGCAAATTCACACTCTTTGAGTTGTTCTCTGATGAGCAGCTCCCTATTAGTGCTACTTCATCCATTCTGTTCAACACATGTATACATACACATACAATTACTTCTGTAAAATGGCATACCCAGCATTGCAGCTCCCATACAATATATACTATTTTTGTTTTGGTGGGGGGAAAGGGGGGGGGGGGGGGGGGGGGGGGCAGTGGAAGACGAAAATATAAGGGTTTGTTTACTAACAGGTATTTTTCAGATTTTTAGAAAACTGAAAAACTGGAAAAAGGAAAACAGAAAAACCTGTTTACCAAAGAAAATTACTGGAAAACTGGAGAAAAGAAAATAGAAAACTGCGTTTACTAAATCGTTTTCCAAAACGAAAAAATGAGATATGTCTCTCTTTTCCTTAATGAATTGGAGAAGTGATTTTTACTAGGTTTCCAAATTTGGAAAACGTGGATGCTGTAGTGCCGTTGTAATGAACTTTCATACTTACACCTAGTGGTGCATCCGGTCCCTATCTGGTCCGGTCAACGACCTGGCGGTCTGATTCGGTCATTGAACCGGCGGTCCCGGTCCGGTCCACGATCAAGCGGTACATGTTCAGTCCGTCGACGGGGGGGGGGGGGGGGGGGGGGGGGGGGTCCCGGTCAGATCCAGTATGGTCAATGACTCGGCGATCTTCGTCTGGTCCTGTCAACGACCCGGTGGTCCCTACCTGGTCTGGTCACCGACCTGACGGTCCGATCCGGTCATTGACCCGGCGGTCCCTGTCTGGTCCGATCGACGGCCTCGCAATCCCGATCTGGTCCGGTCCACGACCCGGCGATCCCCCGTCCAGTCCGATCCACGACCCTGCGACCCCTGTCCGATCCGGTCCACGACCCGAAGGTCCCTATCCTGTCTGATTGATGACCCAGCGGTCACTGTCCTGTCCGATCGATGACCTGACAGTCCCTGTCTGATCTGATCCACGACTAAGCGATTTTGGGCCAGTCCCGTCAACGACCCAGCGATCCCTGTCTGGGCCCGTCAATGACCAGGTGGTTTAGTCTTGGTTATTTGAAATCACTTTTTAAAGTGAAGAGTTTTAAAAGAACTGTTGAGTTGTCAACCAATAGGGAGATGGGAAAAGAATTCGTCAAACTATCTGTTGAGATCGATCGGGCTCGGCCGATTTTGGTCCCGACTTTCCTATACGTGGGACCTGGTACCCTACTTGGGTTGTACTAGGTTTGATTTCATAATGGGACTGTAATTTCAATCTTCTGGAACCGGGTGAAAAAAATTGATTAACATGTTTTCAGATTTGAAAATGAAAAACTAAAAAATGTAAATAGAAAAGTGGAGATAGAAAAACTGGAAAATGAAAACAGAAAATTGGAGAACGGAAAACAGAAATAGAAAACTGGAAAACATCTTTGTTAGTAAACAGACCCTAAGCCTCCTTTCTCTAAAATGAAAAAAAGAGCTTCAGATATAAGAGGAGAGATAAGATAAAGAGTACCTTCCGTCAAACAAATACGCCAAAGCCAATGAAGCCATGAATCGTGCCATTTTAGAGACAGAAGTAGAGCAAAGATGAACTAGGGCAGGAACACCCCCTTCCTCTACAATTCGAAGAGCATTGCCAGAATTAAAGGCAAGATTCCAAAGAGCTCCAGCTGCTGTCTCATGGACATCCTGATAAAGCATCATAATAATAATAATAATAATAATAATCTTATTGATATTCAAAAATGATCCAAGAAGGTATTAACCAAACTCAGGGTCCGGTTCAATACAGTAAGTCAATTTCATTTAAAAGTTTCATATTTTTTATTGTTTAAAAAAATAAAAGAATAGAATGGATGCTCAACATTTAAAAGTTCCATATATTTTATTGTTTCAAGAAATAAAAGAATAGAATGGACGCTCAATCATTAACAAGCAATTGTTTTTTAATTAATTATTACCCCATCCATCCCACACAATCACCCCATTTTTGCATTCATAAATGCAGTTTCCTCTTTATGTATAAACAGTTTTAATTTAATAAAACGGGCATGATTGGAAATTACCCCCTAGATTTTTTATTTCATTTTAGGAATTTTCAGAATATGTCACACTTTACTTTAGGTCCCTGCAAAACCAAAACATCTTTTTCATCCCTGTAATATACATTGTTGTTTTTAGTCCATCTCTAACTCTGAAACCACTCTACTAAGAAAAAAAATATTGTTGGCTGCATAATACTACTAAAAACTTTAAAATTTATCATTTTAAAATTTGTTGAGGCAAATATGAGTTTTTTAAGGGCAAAGCTTTCTAACCAATTATAGTACTACCTCCGTTCCCATTTTAACTTCCAAATGGGTTTGGCACAAAGTTTAAGATAGTGGATATTGTGTGGTGGAGAGTTGTGCAGAGGAGAGAGAAATGTGTAAGAAATGTTGTGAACCACAAATTCTTTACCAAAAAGGGAAAGTGGAAGTTTTAATTGGAACGGACGAAAAAGGAAAGTTGGAAGTTTATTTAGGAACGGAGGGAGTATCTGTTTTGTTAAGGCCAACATCTTTGAACTGGAATGGGATTCGAACCTGTGACCTCCTCTTTGGAAGTTTCACAGTGATGCCATCAGACCACAAAGTACTTGGTAAAATGAACTAATTATACACAATTTTTGAAAATGTATTAACAACCTTCTAAAAAATTAAATTAAATACTGTTTGAATAACATGCCAAAGAATGAGAGGAAACTTATTAGCTGAGGTTGTTTCTTTGTCAAACGGAGGTTGTGATCGTCGCTGATGGACTAAAATGAAAACCAACATAGATTACAAGGATGAACAACAACAAACTAATTTTACAAGGACGTAAAACAAAATGCACTATATTTGCAGGGACTAAAAACATATTTAAATCTCAAGGATATTAGAAGAACATGGGGAAGAAATGGAAGTAATTCATTTAGTGAATTGAAAGTAACCTCAGCTTCAGATCTCGCCAATGCTATAAGCGGCGCTACGCCACCTTCTCTTCCAATAGCAATACTATTACAAAACAGCACACACATAATGTAAATTAGTAAGTACTTATTTAAGGGCAGGGCAACAACAAAAAAAACTTGACCAGCAAACTGAATTCTTGAATACTCAGAAAGCACAAATATTATCATCTATAGTAATTTAATATATTGTTGTCTGTGGTACCAACACTTGAAATTTTTTAGTAACAGAAAATTTTAAAAAACATACCTATTTGTCTCTGAGACAGACATGCCCCATAAAGCACCAGCTGCTCTCTCCTGGAGGGCAGGAGAGGCATCTGAACACGATTTCGCAAGAGCAACCTGATAATAAAAAATAAAAAATTGAAAGATCTTCAAAGAGAAACTAAATAGATACAGCACTCCTTAAGCAGACAAATTTAATGTAGTTTACTACTTTTCCTATTGTGGATTCTTGACATAAAAATCCTTATCAAAAGAGAGCATCATAAACCAGAGGTGCTCAAAATTTCAGAAGGTGAAACAAATGTCACCGAAGTTACAAAATCAAAGCAACAAACAAGCTTACAAGCTCCAAAAATCCAACTAAGTTTAAAAAATTTAGACATCACTTCTGTTTATTCAATTATAAAAAGAAAACCAAATTATTTCAACAAAAGATCGCAAGATCATAGATAAATAGACACCAAGAAGGCAATAACATTGTTCCATGAAAAAATGTAATCCCTCAAAAGTAGTAAACAACACTATAGTCTATAGCTAACTTATACTTCACTCAGGCTAAAAAGTAAATATCCAAAGCACTTGTAAAATTGAATTTGCCATCAATCATTTTTTCAAATCCTCTTTGCATGCACATGAGAGGGGGGGGGGGGGGGGGGGGGTCACATTCAAATGCAGAAGAAATCTATACTTGAAATAGAAAGAAAGATTTTAATGTCTTGTTCTCATCCTCCTAACAAAAAAGATTCCAACTTTAATAGCCTTAGAAACAAATTCATTTTTTCACGGTCTCTATACCCCCAACTATTATTTCACCCTAAGAACCACGGAAACGTGAAGCATCATTTTAAATAAAAACTAGTAGTGACCAAAGCTTCCTTGGAGTTTTCCAAAGGTTTCCTTAAAGAAGACTCTGACCCCAAGAGTTTCAGGGCATCATAGATCTCACCTCACTCTAGATATGAGGATGGTTCCAAATTTTAAATAAAATATATTGCATTTGCTTATTATAAAAGAGAAGCTTTTCTCCTTTTAGGCTTTCCCGAAAAAAAGACCCCCTTTTATTGATTTCTTACAACTCCTCTCTTTTTGCATGTCAAAGGTTAAGCCCTGAGCTTATTCCCCCATCTTAGGCCAGGGAAGTTGTACTTTTATTCTCAATTTTACATATTAATCTCAGATTTATATATATTATAATAAGGGGGGCCAGTGAATCTCACTACTATGGTGAGCATCTTTGCTAAACTAAAAATCCATTACAGACATTTTCCCTCCATACATTGTTTGCACATGAAATGATTTGTAAGAGCATATTACAAAAGATACACAAGAGAGCTAAGTTATCAATACCTAGAAAGTAGAAACGATTTATTATACCTGACATGCAAGTGAATAGTAATAATATCTTGATACTTGTGACACGGGAAGTATAACACAAACTTAAAGAATGTGATAAAATTAAAATCACACATACTAAAGCTTCAACACCACCCGTTGCAGCAATTGCTTCTCGGTTCCTATCATCAAATGACAGGTTCCACAATGCTCCAGCAGCTTCTTGCCTATTAAATGAGAAAATGATAGCTTTTACCATGAAATATAGGCCCCAAGGTTTCTTATTCTAGTTTATGTTTATGCAGTAAAATAGCTTCATGAAAAGGCAGTACCAGTGAAACTTATATCTTTTAAGCATACCAAAAGCCAGATTGTTAAAGAGTAGCCCCATAATGCAAATGAAGAAGCATATAAAAAGGAGATTTATTTAAAAATAAAATTTTTTAATAACAAAAGGCTCCATCACACTTGTTAAAAGGATAAGAGTATACTTTTTTTTAATAAAGAACAGTTGTTTGGTATTCAATAATGAAATATGAAAACCATAATGTGTCCCCATGTTGAAAGCTAAGGCAGCCATGATCAACATATTTAAGTGATGACTACTGGAAGCGTACACCATAACAGTTAATAACACCATCTGCTATAATTTAAAATGCTGGAAGCCAAATATGTTTGATATTTGCCCGAGTAGCATATTTTATATGCCACAGTTAAAGGAAGTTGACCTGACACCATCATGAGGAGAACGGGTAAGCTGAACAAGGGCTTCGAGAGCTCCGTCTTCTTGTCCAACAAAAGCATTGTTGCAGTTGCTATCTCCATGAGCAGCCAGATTTGCCAAAGCACGAGCTGCCTGTACGGTCACAGAAATCAAATCTCGATGGATATTAATGCACAACTTATTTCTGCAGGCATAGATTTAGGAAATGTATCCCAAAGAAGCAGCATACGAGATATTCAACACTATCCTTTTAAAGTCGGAATCACATTAAACAATATACTTGAAGTACAGCTTATTCCTCTAGGCATTGAATTAGGAAATGCAACCCAGAGAAGTAGCATACGAGATATTTCACACTGCCCTTTTAAATTCGGGATCAGATGAATACATAGTTGAAAAGGAGTCACCTTTTTATGAAAAATGGAAAATTTAGCAGAATTGGAAAAAGGGAGTTTCAGAGACAGTTCAATACTTTTCATTAGCTTATCCATAAGCAGATCATGAATTAAATAAACCCCACTGGCCCACTGTCAGCAGAATAATTAGCTTCCCATGTTACAAGCAAAAAGAGAATTACATGACATAATAAGTATTAGGCATGTTCCATGACTTACATGGTCCTGAAATGTTGATCATCTGTTGGACATAACAATAGCAAATACCTCAACTCATCTCCACCTCATGATATATTCAATGCATATGTGGAAATAACGTACAGTAATGACGGATTTAGAACTTCCCTTCTTATGAAGGTTACATGAGGAGCATCTGGCATAAACCATTGCTACCATGCTTTTTTGAATGACTTCATAGTGTTCACTATTCTATACAATCAGTTGGCACTAAAAATTTAATGCCAAAGACCCAAACTAGTATGGATTAAGGTAATGACGAATTCATTATAATAATGATGATGCTACATATTTATTGTACATGAGAAGTTAATTTGGATCACAATGACTTTCCAATTAAGTTGATACAGTAGCAATTACTCAAACTCACACCAAATTTTTGTACATGCAGTTGCGGTTGAGCTGTTCTAATATGCTCAAGAGGAAGAAAGTGAAAAAATTGTGCAAATAAATCCATTACACATAAAAAATGAGGTCATAGAAACTCTTGATACCTGTTCTTGCACTCCTTCAACGCTGCAGTTTTGAGCTAGTGTAACCAGTGCATGTACGCCACCTACTGAGGCAATCCCCAGGCTACATTTATCATCAGCTGCAAGGTTTGCTAAGGCACCAGCAGCTCTTTCCTGACAAACAGAAACATAATTTAAAATAGAATTATGTCTCTCATCATCCACAATATAATAGATATAGACAGAAACATGCCCATACCAGAACTCCCTCACCACCATTTGATGACCATCTGAAGATAAGATCCACTAAAGCTTTTAAACCACCAGTTTCAGCAATTGAAGCCTGGAAAGAGAGACCTACTTTTTAAGATGAACGAATGCATGGATTTTACCGGATGCACTTGCTGTTGAAAGTTAGAAATGTCACCTTATGCCCTTCCCCAACGGAGAGATTCCAAAGTCCTCCGGCTGCTTCTTCAGCAACCAATCTATTTGCAGACCTTGCCAGATTCGTGAGGATACTTATACCCCCCTCCTCTGCAACAGCTTTTGCAACATTGGCATTCATAGATAAATTTGCTATAGCCTGCATGAGTTGATTACCCTTGGTATAAGAATGGATTGATAGCAATTTGTGAATATGGTTAGACTAATCTGTAAAATAATGCAAAATGTTGATCCTCTAGTTGTGTCACAAGTCAGAAAAAACAAAGCACAATAAATCATGCCAAAGTCTACTTGTGTGTTGGGGTTTTTAGGGAAAGAAAAGTGCTTTTACTTAAAAAGAAGCATTTGGCAGGAGAGTGATAAATTTATGTTTTTGAGGGTTGCAAAACCTGAGGTTTGCGCTTTAAAAGGAAACACTTTAAATGCTTGAATGATAAACCACTTATAATTAAAGCACCAATACTATAAGTTATCCCAAAGAGGATCTTCATACCTTTGCAGCTTCTGATTGGATCCCCTCCTGCCAACATCTTGCAAGGTTCAAGAGAAGCCGAATCCCGCCACCTGGCATAACTGCTTCGGCCCTTCCACTGTCAACATTAGCATTTTCATCGTCAATTACTACAAACGTTGCTAGGCCAGTTGCAGCCCTTTCCTGAACTTCTTCTTGTGTGCTTTGGGTCAAACTGAGAAACAGATGTGCACCTTGATTGAGCCAGAATACATCCAAACCTTGGGGATTAATCTCAGCAACACGCAAAAGAGAATGCGAGAGGATCCATTCAACCCAATTCATAATCTCCTCTCGCTTCCCTCTTTTGGTCCTTAATTCTCTCCATTCAAAAAAAACATCCCTCTCTTTCTTTTTTATAATAGTGTCGACAAATAAGGAAGCCAACTCTTTAAAAATGTCCGTCCAAAAAGAAAGTAGCAGTTTGCCTTTTCTACTGGAGGGGACAAAGTTGGCATTTTGATCAAACCCCGGGCAATACAAAGCACATAAAACCGTCAAGCTTGTCGAGCAAGAAAACAGTCTCTCAACCGCGCTATGGGTGATATCTGTTCTAGAAACATCCAAACCCGTCAAGTTTGGCAGCTCACTCCAATGCTGTGAAGCCAAATTCCATTTCATATTAGTTGTTCCTGCAACCGAGAGGAACTTAAGGGATAAAACCTTCCCTAACCCTGCCTCATCCACATTAAGACAGTCAATAAACCCAATCTCAATTAAGTTTTTGCAATGCTTAGCCAAAGCATTGATGGCATCCCCGTCCACGTCACGTACACCGGAAAGTCTGAGCTTACGCAGAAGAGGACAACAAGCGGCAATAGCTTTTATGGCACTACTGCTAATCCTTTCACAAAAATCTGGGCCGAGCTGCAAACTTTCTAGAGTTTCATGTCTAGCCACAATCATAGCAAGTGTGGCATCTGTAATCTTTCTGCAATATTCTCCGCTTATCTCACGCAAATCCCTCGCCTTAAGGTGTATAACTGCATCTGCAGATTCGGAACTGCGAAACCGAAGCTTTTGAAGATCCACACACCTGGAAGCAAGAGAAGTAGCAGTGGAAGGATCAAACTTATATGAACGAAGGTCCAAATGCTTCCATAAACACCGAGAAATACTCAAAGCTCTTAAAGACCGGCATGTTGATGACAGGCTTGCCCTATCACGAAGATTCATAGAAGAAAATAGCTGAATTACAGTATCATCAGGCAAACTAGTCCAATTGAACACCCCTCTCTCATCTAGAATACTATTGTTTTCATCAACCTCCGAAATCCCATCGGCATCTTTGGGTGGTCGTCTTGCCAATTTCCTTCGCACCCTCCGACTCATATCCGTTTCTCGCACTTATTAACCAGCAAATGATCAATGCAAGAAGACAAGGTATACTTATGCCACTTTACCCGTACATTTAAGGTAGGGTAAAGTAGACTCTGACTGTATGCCTGCTGAAGAATGACCAGCAGTGACTGGACGAATATCCAATTCTACCAGACAAGAACTTATTTTTTCCCAATTCCAAACGTAGCAAGATTCTCAAATATAGACCCAAATAATAGAAAACTGATCCTCGACCGTGATAATCCCTAGTTGATTCAGGCAGATTCTGCACACCAACTCCCAATTAATACAAGTATATATATCCACACTGCATCAGTATTCAAGATCAGTAATTGAAGACAGAAAACATCTTCTGGTGCAAATGCACCAGTCAAAAGCTTTTCACAGACCTGGCTGCTTGCCCCCTCTTTACTCCACACTCAAAACCATAACTCCGATCAAAACTCTCGCAGATTTCTTCGTTGTTCTTCAAATTGGAGAAGTATTACAGAAACTCCTATATGTATTATCTGTCTAATCTATATCTATTATCTATATATATATCTATACACCGACGTGGATGAGATGCATGGGAGTTGACGGAAAGGAGGTTTGGAAACGGTTCCAGCGGCGGAGATTGTGTCTAGGCAGCAGCATATAGAGAGATGAGATGAGAATGAGCTGAAGAGCAAGAACGGTGATTAACACGTATTAACATATGATGTATGCCATGGCCTATGGTGTGATTAATACAGAGGTTTTAAACCCGTAATTACTAGGCATTAATTAATTTCCATAATCTTTCATGGTGGAGCTGATTCACCATTATCATCTACACTACAAGCTAATAGCAGTAGATTAATACGTAATACTCCTACGTAGGCTATACTTTTTTAGTTTTTACACGTCATTGTGAGATAAATCCCAAAGAGTACCAATTTTTATTTAACTCTAGGTTTACCATTTTTAATGACATCTTTTATATAATTGTAGTTGCACATTAGTTCTTCAAAAAATATCAAGGAATAGGTTTTGAGATTCCCTGAGCTGAAATAAAAATATACTAAGCTTAAACATTAACAGTGAAAAATGAAAAAAGTTTTACAAAGAGTTGGAAAAAATATGAAGTTACTTTGAGTTTCAACCCATTGTAGCCCATAGGCAGATTCTCCATGTTGGAAATAATGAGACCTCATTCACTCACCACTTATGACTTGTTACATTAATCAATATGGCATTTGTAGAATGAAAAGAAATTGTGGCTAGAATCTAAACTCATTCATTCAGCTGCATTTATAGGTACGGAAATTTCATTAGAACTTCTCAAGTTCATCAGATTAAACTTATGTTATTATTATTACTTTACAATTGATATAACATTATAGATGTGGCACACAGTATTATTATTGTATACGTCATGTTTTTAAAGCACCTAATTTGATTTATGAGCTCGTTGATGTCTATCTACTGATCATATAATAGTGATAGTGATCCAAAAGAGTCCTCCATCAGTCGTCAGACAAAAACATCATTTAGTCTGCTTTTTCAATTGAGGATTATGTCATTTACGTGTATCAAAATAGTACTCCATAGTCCGTAATAATTAAATGATGATTGTGTGATTGAGGTGAGGATGAAGGAATGCAGTTAAACATTACAGAACTTGCAATTTACAAATGTTGATATATGTAAAATATCTCAATATTGATTAGTATATCAATTGCAGACAACATCAGAGTAGAATCCAATGGTCCGGCGGGTACAGTCTTGAACGCTGAGCAATTCCACGTCGAAAACTTCAAACTGTTTGGAGCTGAAGAATGTCGAAGGTCCAACCTGCAACACCGCCACCCCCAAATCTCAGCAATCTCAAAGTAAATTATGCAAATTAAAGAAATGCATACAAACTGAAACTTGTGTCAAAAGGCATACATACTCAAGGCTCAGTTTGGGAACACAGTTTAGCTTATTCAGCTAATGAAAAAAATAAGTAGTGTTTGCCTTATATTTCTGAAATGGGTGTTACCAAGGTCTGATTATTCTGAATGCTCATTTTGTCCCCTAAGGGCTTGTTTGGTCGGGAGATTGTGGATGCAAGGGAATGATTGATTCTTCTTGTATAATTTATCACTTGTTAGTCTTACACTAGAAAATAACTAGTCAGTATATGATTAGTTAAATCATGTATTTCTATATGATTTTTCATCCTCTGTTTCTTTCCAAACATATCAATGTAAGGATATACTATCGAAATAAATACCCCTGAGCAAACAAGGGCTAACAGATTGAGTGAGACTGTGAGAAACAGATGAAGAGAACACTCACTGGTGGTCCAAGCTCTGGAGGTATGATCATTCTCCTCCTTCCTCCAGGTCTCATGTCCTTCAGTCCCTCTTCAAAACCTGTGTAAGAAAATGTGGGCAAATTTGAGACATTTATCTCTACAATCCATGAGAGGACCAAAGAATGCAAAACTAAGTCTACACCTTTCATATTTGCTGTTAGCATCACCTGGGATCAAGGCACTATTGCCCATTCTCACTTTTGCAGGAGAGTCTTGCAAGTATGTGCTGTCTATACGGCGTCCAGACTCATTATAACCAACATAATGGAAAGTCACCTGCCAGTAAGGACAACCTCATTTAATGCTTTAATTGCATAGTTCAAACTAATAGATGCAAACTCTTCAATGTTATAAGCACTATCTACAAAAGCATATGAGCGACTTCCTAGTTTAAATTGATAAACACAGGAACTTGTTTAAAAAAAACAGGAACTTGTTTTTTTTATGGTACTACGTATGAAAGTAACATATAATCAACAAATGCATATGAACCAACCATGTAGTCTAAAATGATGAGAATACTCTCTTTGGTGCTACGAAGGGGAGAATAGTTACTTTGTTTGGTGTGTTAACTAGTTTCAAAATAAGAAACCGGTGTCCCAACTTATAAAATTATCAAAGTGTTGTTCCATACTGGATATTGTTAACAAATTGGTGTGTTTGTCCTTTTACAACAAGTCTCATTAATATTGATGAAGTCAACTAAAAACTATTATATGAAATCCAATGCGGATTGACGATATTTTACTTGGTATTTTACACTCACTTTGGTAATTTCAGGTAGCACTACGTGCTAGGGCAATCCATGCTAGGGCTCAAGATTACGCAACAACGGAATAAAGATTGATAACAATAGAGGGACATGTGACTTCTTAGATCAGAGAGATGATGATGACCACGTAATTTGCTAGGGAATGTTTGAAAACAATTCTTATGGCTTCGGATAACAATTCAAATGAAATTTAGGAAAACTGTAGATTAGGTCCCATAGAGTGGTTTTGACTTTTGATTGAATTGATATGAAATTCCAAACAGATAATGAGGACGATTATTGCAACAAGATCTTGAGTATAGGGACAAACTAGGAAATAAATAAATTGAATGACGTAAAGAATGGTTCTCAATCTGTCGTGTTTAAGAATTAAGTGTTCTACAATAATTACTTTATACTCACTTTGTTAATGATGAAAAACAAGATCTTGAGTAGAAGGCATTTCTTTCACCCCCATAGTTAATAGTTATGGAATTCTATATTCATCTAAGCTGCTAACTATAGCATCTAAGAAAAACTTACTCTTTTGTTGAGAAAATCCTCAGCTTACGAGCAAATAGATTCCAAACAATACTTATGGTAAAAATGCAAAGGAAGACTTCATTTGCTATAGTATTGTGCTATAGAAAGAATTTGGTTCCAACTGTGCTGTGATGCAATGTTTGGAAAGACTTATATGCGTTACAACATTAGGAGTAAATCCATAGCTAGCTGAGCAAATTAGTATGGAAGGATATTGTTTCCTTTACAGCAGATTTGATTTACTGTTTTATTGTTTTCCTTTATTATACTAGTCAATTGCTTTCCTTCATTATGTTGTTCTACAACTTTATGCATTTCCATCATTAGATCAGTTTGTTTTAAGAGTTGATTTTATGAATCCTCTTTCTTTTTCCTTACTGGTGTTTGTAACCCTTAGTCCTTACTATAAGTAAGGACTCTTGCTTGGCAATTGTGCCAGTAGAGTCTGAAGGACTTAAAAAACTAAACCCATAGCTTCAAGTAAGCAGTATAAAGCACTAAAAATCAATGTCTTATTACACCTCATCTATCTAACAATCTAACATATATCAAATTTTTTTTATGTCCAGCTTGTTGCAGCAACTCAAACAAACCAATTTGTTGATAATAACTGTACTTGGCTATCCCTGTTGTAATATTAAAAAATGAGAAATAATAATAATCCTAGTTATAATGTAGTATAACCATTCACAAAAGCATACAAATCATTTCCTATTGGCAATGATCTGATTTTGAGGGTTTATGGAGAGTTCACAAAACCAAACTACAAAAACAGATCAAAATATAAAACTGAAAGAAAAACCTGTTGACCAGCCTTTGGACAATCACCTTTACCTACAATGATGTCCAACAACATCAAACCTGAGTCACGCCTTACATAGTTATTTGATGCCACTACTTTCACTTTGAACCCTGGATGGATCACAAACAAATTTTCATCATTACGTAAGAGTCTGTTTGGAAAACGGCAAATGCAAGGGAATGAAAAAACAGAATAAAATCATAAGGGAATAAATTCTACAAGAAAATAAGAGATACACTCAACTCAATTAATTAATTTTAGATATTTGTTCAACCCAATTTATCTGTTTACTTCTATCATACAAACACTAAGAAAGCTAAATACATGCAAAAGAAGAATTAAAATCGAATCATATTTAATTCTTCTTTGCATTTTCCAAGGTGAAGATAAACATAAGATATTTTAACTTTCCTCGCACTTGTTCTCCTTCCCTAGCAGTTTTTGAGATTCAAACACACCTTTAATGAGAGGGGCAATTGAAAAATGATAACTCATGATATATAGAACAGATAAACGAACCTTCTCGGACAAAATTTGGGAATTCCTCAGGGGCATTATTTTCTGTCTGTACCCGTTTGTTTTGTTCAAGTAAGCGTTTTTCATCATATGGGTTTTTTTTCTTCGTCTTCCCGGAACATGGGGAAGTTGGGGATATGCCTGATGCACCAAGTAGGAAACATAGAAGAAATCTCCTCCTCAGATTCTCCTCATAATGCAATATGGTCGTATTCTGTTCTCTAGCAATGAAAAAGGGTAGCTTATAAGAAAGTCAAGGCCAAAGGTCTCTTGTCAACAAACTAAGAAATGCTACCTGTTAAGTCTCATTGCACCTTTTAGATAGAAACTGTAGGATAACCTTGTCCGTCGTTGAGGAGTATGACAAATGGAAAGAGTTCTACCTGCACAGAAAACAGAAGTAGCAGCAAAATATTACTCCCTCCGTCCCAGCTTAAGCTATTCACTTGACTCTTTTGGACGTCCCACCTAAAGAATCCCATTTCTATTTTAGGGAAATAATAAGCACTCTTAAAATGACAACTTAATTATTAAATATTAAAAATAATACATCTATAACATCACAGTTATCAACAATGACCCATCAAAATACTATTCCGTACTTCTCAAAAAATCCCATAAAAATACTTCTCAAAATACACTCAAATAACCTTATTTAATTACGGAGTATTTTCTAAATAACCATGTCATTTTTCAATGAGAAACTTAAGGCAAGAGAGAGGTAGTACCTGCTAGGCCAATACTATATACCCACTCTATTAACAACCTATAAGCACTAAATTGGAAGTTCTAGAAAGTCCATAAGAACTTGCCTTGTCTGCAATCTGCATCAAGCTAAACCTATCAAGCCTTTTATTTTGTTGCCATAAAATTTCAGCAATGACGATCTGGTCTTCCCATATTTACCAATTCCTTTCTTCTATAGAGCCTTAGCCTTCGTTTTCTTTGAAAGAGGGATGTGAGAGAGGAAACCAGAGGTGGTGAAAAAAGATAGATTTGGTTCATTAAAGGAATGAATAGGCATGTAGTGAATAATATAAAATATAAAAATTATTAGATAATGATTAAGGAGCAGTAAATCAAAATGGCTCACTAAACTGTCTGCGTTTCTTTGTTATGGGTCATCCAGAAACAGTCTCTCTGTGCTTTAGTACAGGGGTAAGACTGCGTACATCCGACCCCCTTACCCCACCGTAGGTGGGAGCCTTTGCGGCACTGGGGTAAATGAAAATGATGAAAATGAAATGATGATGATTAAGGAGCAGTCTTTATAATTCTTGTTGCAAGTAAAAAAAAATACTAGTCGTAATCTGCGTGTATAACAAATTAACAACAGTATTGTATAACAACTTCAATAAAAAGTGAAAGAAACTAACAAAAAAATTAACTCCCCCAGAATCACTCAGATAGCTTGTATGCTTTTACACTTTACCCCTCCCCCCTAACTTCCCTAAACAAATGCACACTCCTTCTCCAATTTCCTCCATCCCCTGCAAAATTCTTCAAGAAAACAAAGGCTAAGTAATGTTTAGTGGAGAAGTTTTTATGGGTTCAAGCACACAATCCCCCCACCCCACCACAAGTACACTTGCAATTATGAGTTGGCAGAAATCGTGTAAAGAAATTGCATCACACTCATTAGATATAGTTTTGACTTGAATTTATCCAAATAAATGACATTTTAATGCTTCACCTGTCATGAAACTGTCTTCTCGGTCAAATTGGGATTGGGTTTCTAAAGCAGTCAGGAATGGGAAATTGACAAACCAATGTAACTGGCAAAACTCTAAGCATACCCAATTAGGTAGTGTAATTACGCTCTAACAAGACAAGGTGATGTAAAGAAATACAAGGAAATCAAAGAAACGGCGGCAATTGCAGAAAAAAATACTTATGAATTGACTATGGAGACGCTAATATTAACGAAATCGTTCCAGAAAGTGGGAGATAGAGAGAGACTTACCAGGGAGAGAAGGCTTTAGAACAAGTGAAGAAGATATAAACAGCATAATTGTTCTTCTCTCTTGCTCTTGTTTAGCAACAAAAATGCAACCTTTTGGAGTTTCAGGGCACGACGAGAAGTAGCAGCTAAGTTTATCTACTGTTCACTTGTATGTGTGTTAGGCCTGTTAACCTAGGGACCGGAACGTAATAGTGTATTAATACTAGTAGGGGTAATCCGACATTCCACCCCAAATTTGACTGCACCATGTTCCGAAAAACATTTATTTTTGCACCATCTCCCTTAGAGATCCTATTAATGGCGCTAGAATTGTTTCGAAAATACTATAATGCTCTTAATAAAAGAATTGATCATTTACCGTTATCATTCTCAACAACACTAATGTATGTAGAGTGAAATAGGGTTTTGATAAACGATGAGCTCCCGCAATGAAGAAGTGGATAAAACGGCAAACTTCTTGCTCTCGGAAGAACACATATTTTTGGATTGTGAAGCACATGCACCAACACCAACAGAAAGGATAGAGAGGGCATCCAAGAGATTGCTCGTGAAGAGAAAGATTGACTGCGAGATGCTAGTAAGTGATTTGACACTCTTATTGTCAATTATAAAAAGATTACAGCAGGAGAAGTTTTTGGTCTCATTAGTTTGACCTGTTTTTTTGTTGAGATATTCCCCCCTTTTTTTGGTTTTGGGTTGCTGGTGGCATTACTTAGGGTGTGTTTGGCACGACTGGCAGGGGTGCTGGAAGGGCTACCGGAAGAGAAAGTGTGATTCCATAGGTGAATCTAATGGTGCTTTTTGACCTACTATAGCTGGAGTGTTTTTTGTCATACTAAAATCACCCTAGTACATGCAGTTTATTAAACACAACTGCAATATTTTTGCTCACCGTAAAGATGAATGGTTTTTGTTGCTAGTAGTATTTTTTCTCACTGTAAAATCTTGACTTTGAAGCTCACCATATTTCGCTAAAACTAGTCATAGCTCTGTATTTTTGCTACAATTAGAGAAAAGATAACTACAAGGTTGTACTTCTAGTGTTTTTGCTCAATCTACAATGATATATAGAACTTCTCTCAAATAGGTTATTATATTGAAAGTTTTTTTGCTCATAAGCTCAATTATATCACAGACTTGTCTCTCATAGGTCAATTTGTGCCTAGTCTTCTATTGTCACTTTAACGGTACCATTGAGACTTTAGTTGCTTGTTGCTCTTTCAATCCTAAGTCTTGTTTTGTCAGCTTCTTGTTTTATGGTGGTTCATTTTTGCAGGTTTTAGTTGTGTCGGCTTCTTGTTTTTAGTGCAATTTTTTGTGGTTTTAGATTTTATTTTGGTGATATAAATGAGATGTGTAGATAGATCTCTGCATTTTTTGGTTTCGTGCTGAGTCATGCATTGATAGGGTTTTTTCTTTTGAAAACGATTTGCTATGCATTAGTAACTTGCTGAATTTTCTCCAAGTGAACTAGAAAGTTTGTTGTCTCGAAGTGCATTAATAATAATTCGTTGGTGCATTTTTTGATGCCTTGAACCAAGCAAGCAGGACCTTAGTAATAAGTCTGCTCTACGGATGAGAAATGTGAACAAGAAAATTTCTCCAGGTCACCTTGCTCCAGTAGCATGCTAGAGAAACACTTTGTACGAGTATTGTAAAGTATCACCTTACTTCAAGGCATTGTTGACTTTTTAAAATTTCTTTAACTCTAACTAACAGACTGTTTAGTGTTAGGGTGCAAAAATAAATGTTTTTCAGAACAAGGTGCAAAGTCAAATTTGTTCAATAAAGTGAGGTGCATAGTCCAATTCCCCCATACTAGTATTAGACACACAGACCTATTAAGCTAGTTTTTCGGATACTTTCTAATCTTTTAAACTTATTTTCAAAACAAGATGCTATAAACATCATAAAAATTTGTTCAATAAAGTGGGGTGCAAAGTCCTATTTGAGACGAAACACAACACCAACATCATTAACAAGATGGTGCAGAAAAGAATAACATATAGGGAGTGTTTGGATCTGATTCTTAAAACTGCTTCTGATCCTTTAGAGAGAAGAAGCAGAAGTTGGAGTGCTTGTGTGAAAGTAGAGAAGTACTTCTCGTGCTCTAATTTACTCGTAGAAGCAGTTATTTTAGAAGCTGGTCTCCCCCAGCTTTTGAAAACTGATTCTAATTCTGCTTCTTCTATAAAAACAAGCAGAAGCAGAACCGGCTCCAAACATGCACATATTGTGATGTTGGAAGTTACTAAAATTTTATGCGTAGTATTTAACTAGGTACCAAGTGGTATCAACGAAATTAGAATGGGTGATGACCGAGTATCAACAAGTTCACCTAGGTCAACAGCTTCGGTTGCATGACTTTCCATGGCTCTGATGCCCCAAAAAATACCAACTTAAAAGCCACGTAGTATTAATTATGTGCCCTATATGTTATTAGCTCATATAGTCACGTGTACAATCAAGTATATATACATTTAGGGAGAGAAATTCTACACAACTAACTGATAAAATTTGAAGTCTTCAACAATTGCATGTTGCGTAGAATTTTTCTGAAGTTTTTATAGTTAGTTGCATGGAATTTCTCCCCCCAATTATTTGTATATATTGATGGTATATGTGAATTAATGAGCAAAATACAAAAACAACTTTCAAAGACATTCTGCTAATACATGATTTTTTTTTGAAAGTTTGGTCGTGCACACATACTATATACTACTAGCATATGAATCACCTTACACTACAAGGAAGCTGTGGCGCTACTTCTCCTTCAACTTTATACATGACATGTACTTATCTGATATGGATGCAGTAGTATATTCTTTTTATGGAATTAACAATTTATTTTAAAACACTCAAATAAAGAAAGTGTCAACACAATATGCTTTTCTTTTTTTGTTGGACGTCCTTACACTTTTATTATAGAATTTTCTTTTTGTTAAATGTCAAAATCCTTGAACTGAGATGAGTTGCGACTCTATGAACTCCTCCTTGGGTGACACTAGTGATGTCATCGAACCACAAGCTATTTGGCACAATACATAGATTATCAAATATTATTTTTTGTATGTACTCAATAAGGGATCAAGCATACTTAGACCCAAAAACCCCTTTCAAAGACACTCCAAAGCGTTTTCAACACTCGATTGAAGTGTTGAATCAACGAGTACAATTTTTAACGAAATTCTACTCCATATATATGAAGTGCTCTATATATATAGAACTTTATATATATAGCTAGAGCAACATGAAGTTTTTCTTACTGCAACATAATTGAATCCGACAAGTGAGATATATTCTGATTTCTCACATAAAGTGCTCTTCTTAATAGAACTTCACCACACACACACACACATACTATTATCCTATTTCTTTTGTTATTTCATTCGCTAATTGCAGTTTGATTCTCTTCCCTATTATACGAACTCACCTCAAATATAAACTTTAACTTAAAGCCCGTTTGATAAAATCTGTTTCAGCTTATCATTCTTTTCGGCCATTTTTTATCAAACACACAAGTTTTGATTTCATGCGTTTGATTCTGTAATAATAAAAAATAAGTTAGATTAAAGTTACTTTAATTGGCTGAATTAGCTGAAGTTGCAATAGATGATCATTTTAGCTATTTATTCATATATTTTTTCATTAAGTAAATTAATAAAATATATTCTAAGTATATTTTTCTATAATTCAGTAAATTCAGCTTATTCAGCCATTTCAGCTGCAATCTCATCAATTTTATCAGATTCAAAGGATTCACTCAAATTCAGTGTCACCAAATGGACTCCTAGTATGATTATCATTAACAACATATTAAATGAAATTGTTTACATAATACAACTACCATAAATATGGAAGGTAAAATCAAATAAAAGCAAGCCATATGCATGTAGAGTAATTAATTATAGGATTATTAGCTTTTTTATCTCAAACCATCATCAAATTCACAAATCTATCATATTCTTTCACTTCTATAAAAAAGACTCAAACTTCATCTGTTTTAACAATTATGCTTTTCTTTTTTCTTTTTTCAAAATTACACATTTTTATCAATACCAATAAAATATAAGCAATACAAGTTTCCTTAAAAATAGAAAGAAGTTAAAAAATGTAAAATATAAATATGATTTTTTTTCTTAAAATTTACTAATTCATCCATTGAAAGTGTAATTGTGGGAAAAGTTTAAGTTTGAGTCTCTTTTTAATAAGGGGAAAATAATTATGATGGATAGTCTACCCGGGGGTATATATCCGAAGGGTTATTACGGGGAATAACTTAGAGAGAAGTCAGAGCAAGTGAGTAAAAGTAGAGAGAGAGTGTATTCAGTATGAATGCCGTTTTCAGCGTGGTTACAAATGAGGAAATGGGGTGCTATTTATAGTAGCAATAAATGCCGGGCAGGGACACGTGTCAAGCGCTCATTGGCTGAGGGGTCACCTCAACTGGTTGGCGCTGGCAGCCGCATGTGGCCGCATTTAATGCGGCTGTTGGATGGGACGTCTATGCGGGGTACGGTGATCTGTACGCATGTGAGGCGGATATCTTGTCGAGTGAGATGCCTTCGGCTATAGAGCAGTAGCCGAGGGCTCTTCCACCCGATGGCACCCTGGTGCCGAGGGCTCACCATGCCGAGGGCTACTGTTTTCGCCGTTTTCTCCCAGTTCCTTAATTTGCTTGAGAAACCCGTTCTGTGAGAATTTGGAGCCTTCGGCCAGGGGGCCGAAGGCACCCCTGGCGCGTAGTGCGGACTGCTTGGTACTCTGGGCGCTGTGATTTGGGCCCGCTGGGCCTTCTGGGCCTGTTGGGCCTTCGCTGGAGTAGTAGGAGTCTGTGGGCCGGGGGTTCTCGGGCCATATACTCCATCAGGAGTCCCTCACTCCTTTTGCCGAAAGGTACTTGAGGGAAAAGGAGTAACTTGTGCTTGCCCTTTGATGTTGTCCCATCGTGATCTCTGAGGTTGGTGAGGAGTTGTTGCTTTTATGTCCCTGCCGAAGGCAGTCCCTCAGTTACCCACATGTCGGGACTTGAGGGCTTGCTCTGTTGTTTGTTGGAATTTCTACATTTTTTGTAATTTAATGATTTTCCCGAGGGGGTCCTCCAGTCCCCCACTCCTTGAGGCACTTGTAAAGTGGTGAAAAGGAGTAGAGTAGTTGTGTTGCTGTTGTGG